AAATGCTAGGTATCATGAAGATCATCAGAAACACTCTGAGGAACCCTAGCTTCCAATAAGATCTGGAAACATGCGTGCAGTTCTGATTTCTGGGAGCAGCAGACCTGGGGTGCACACCCCACCTGGCTGCAGCCGCTCTACTCCGGGACTGAGCTCACTTCACCCTGGCCTCAGCCTCAACCCTGCAGCACGAGGGGAGGATGATGGTCCTTGTCGCAGAGGGGAGGAGTCAGTGCTCAGGCTCCACAGCCTGGCTAGAGTGTGAACAGGGACAGGCGTGACCTGAGCACGGGTAACACTCCTCAACCCCAACACCTGTGACCTTCCTCCCATCCACTTTGCAGCACAAGAGATGACGCTCCAAGCTTGAAGGTGGCTGAGGGGCAGCAAAGGGGTGGTTAGTTATAGCCTGCTCCCTTTGGCCTGGGATCCATTCCCACAGGCAGATAGGCGAGGACATGACCTGAGGCAGGTGCAGACAAGCCCTGGGGCTGCTGGTGCTGGAACACACGGTAAGTGCCACAGAGGTGGCTGGAGGAACACCTGGACGTTCCTGCAGACAGAGCAGGTGCAGCTCTGCCTCTGCTGTGCGGGCCTCTCAGCTTTGATACTGTGAGTGACAACAAGATATTTTTGTCACGGCAGCCATTCTTTACTGCTCATGACTGTAGCCACATGATTTATGAGCCAGAGAAAGCATCGTAGTAGGAAATGTGGACAGGCCAGTCTGCCTAAGCCTGTGCAGCAGGACTCAGCATTCACGTGGGGGCACAGCCTTCCCGAAGGAGGCAGGAGAGCGCATGTGGCATATGCCAAGCGAAGCCAAGGTCTCTGTTTCTCTCTTCACTCTGCTTTCCTCTCCAAACTGCCAAGAAGTCCACAGGCTTCCATCCAGCTCTCCCTGTGGACGTGTGCGTGCACACACACGCAGTCTCACGCATGCACATACCGTCACACGCACACACGCAGTCACACACATGCAGTCTCATGCACACATGCATGCATATGCAGTCTCATGTGCACACATGCACGCACACATGTGCGCACACGTGCACACACAGTCACATGCACAGTCACACACACATATGCAGGCATACACACCCTCTATGTGTCTCCTTTGCACACATGCACGCACACATGTGCGCACACGTGCACAGTCACATGCACAGTCACACACACATATGCAGGCATACACACCCTCTATGTGTCTCCTTGTTGACCTAAACATGCTACTGTGCAGGCAGCTGCTTTCATGTGGGGAAATTATTTTCTTGCTATTGCAAGGCTTCTTCTAAGAATGTCCCATACATATCTTTCCCATATCTGAGAACATATTTTTTGAATCGATTTCTAGAAGAGTATCTGACTTGAAGGGTGCAAACATTTAACATTTGATAGATGTGCCAAACTGCCCTCCAAAAAGGCTTTGCCAGTTAAGACTCCTACCAACATTGCATGGTCTCTCCCAGTACCCTGAGCCCCAAACATGAGACTTTTAAATCTGAGATGCAAAAGAACCTCGCGGGGACTCAATTTGTGCTCCTTGGGTTCCTCCAGGACCCACTGGCCTGGCCCTAAGCCCATGCCTTCTGGACGTCCCACCGCAGGTCCCAACTCTTCGTTAGACAAATGTGTCGTGCATGTCCCCAGTCTGCTGTCTCTCATCATTGAGCCTTTTCCTTAGGCATGATTTAAAATGCGGCAGCATCTAACCTGCGGTCATTCACCTTCCCGTGCCTCGGTGGTTTGGAAGGTTTTAGACTCCTGTAGGGTAGTTTTCTTACTGCAGAGATGAACTGAGTCTATGCAGTCTGTGCGGACAGTTTGAGCTGAACCCCACATCACAGCACACACAAAATAAACTCCAGATGAATTAAATGTGCCTCGGTGGTTTGGAAGGTTTTAGACTCCTGTAGGGTAGTTTTCTTACTGCAGAGATGAACTGAGTCTGTGCAGTCTGTGGGGACAGTTTGAGCTGAACCCCACATCACAGCACACACAAAATAAACTCCAGATGAATTAAATATCAACATATGGAAACTATAGAAGCCGCACAAAATGAAGGAGAGACCACTGCAGATCCAGGAGAGCGGAAGCAGTTACGGCCACTGTGGGCGGCTCTACAGTAGTTCTTCACGCCTAGAGATGACGGATGGCTTTCTAGCAAAATGTAAATGACCCACATTGATCCAGGAAGGGGCAGAACCCACACAGACAAATGCGGTCCCGAGCCAAGCTGTGATCAAGCAGCCAACGCACAGGTCTGCTCCCTGCACTCGGGGGCTCCCTGACGAGGCAGTTGGGGCACACAGCGCATGTCCCGCTGATTCACACAGTAACAGCATCTTCTAGAAACACCTGCCACTGAGAGCTGTCTGACTGTCTTTCTGGGGTTGGGTTCACAGTAGTACGAAGCCTCTAAGATAACATCTCTTCTAAGTGTCTTAGATGCAAAGGGTTGATACTTAACAGTGGTCTCAAAGGACAATGCGTTAGTCTCATAGATGGGTTTGCTGCTCCTCCGTATCATGGGGGTCAGCACACACCAGCCACTCAGCAAGTATTTACTGAATGTATAAACGACCCTATCCTGTCCTGCTCAGAAGTTCTCAGGTCACCTGCATGCCCCTCCGTGAGGCACCGTGACTCCCGCTAGCTCCCCTACTCCCCTAAGACATGGGCTGCACTTGCCAATTGCAAGATCATTTTAGCACTCACAGAAGGACCACAAATGTGAACGTATCACACCTACTACTACTATGCATGCAGCGTAGCCCTGGAAAGAGACCAGAAGATGGGGTGTGAGGCCCTGCCTTCCCTTTCCCGGGTTGCGGGACGTGCCCGGATGAGGCTGTGCTGTGGCAACGGGGGGAAGGCATCGAGTGTTGCTACCCGCTTGGCATGCTTGTGGCTTTTTAGGGGCACACAGGATTCTGCCTCGAAAAAAAGACGGGAGGGCCTGGAGCTTTGCTTCTAAAGCAGACTTTCTGTGGACGTGGTTCCCAGGCCCCTGCGCCTGCAGCTGTCAGGCAGAGGACAGGAGAAGGTGCGACCTACGTACTGTCACATCCACAAGGGGGTAGAATCCCCAAAGCCTACACCTCAGGATCATCACAGTAACTGAAAGCACGGCCATTGGTATCTTGCTGGAAAAGGAGCCACAGGCAGAGGCTACACAGGCCAGGGTGGCTGCAGCGAGAAACGGGGCACATTCTTCAGGGCTGGAGGAAAAGCGAGAACTCAGTACGATCGCAGTCTGAGAGCGATGCTGCTGACCCTGGAATGTCACTGGACAGTGTCAACAGGGAGCGCACAGGAGGACTGGACAGTGACGCTCTCCACAAAAGGCTACTCGCACTTACGTGTGGTGACCCTGGTGGACTTCCCGTGGGACCCTGAGGCCTGAGTTCTGTTTCCTCCGTGGCGGCTCTGGGCATTTCTGAGGGTGGCCTGTCCTGCATGCTCGGAACACATGTGTGTCTTTTTTTAAAGAGTGTCACTTGCCTTCCTTAGGAAATCAGCCCGCACATCTGTGGCCTGACAGTCCCAGCCTCGGTCTCCACCAGGAGACACTGCTGCCTTTATCTGGAGCCGGCCTGGGAGCAGGGCAAAGCCACACAGAAGCGCAGAGGCTTCACAATCTGCAGGGTCTCCCTCGCAAACGCTGCCAGAGAAGGGCTTTGCGGCACGCGCATCGCTGGCATGAAGCTCTGCTCTGTGCCAGCGACTTCCGACCGGGCCTCACTCCACAGTGAGCGTCTTCTGTTCTCCCTCCTGCCTTCTGGAGAAGTCTGGGGCCAGAGCCTTCCCACCAGCCCCAGGCTCTCAGACACGCAGGGCTGAGAGCTCTTCTCCCTCTGCCGTCCCTCATGGCCCCGAGGCACCCGCCTTCCTCCCCATGGCAACTCTGACCCGAGCAGCCTTTGCCCCATCTTGTGCCCAAGGGGCAGGCCAGAGGAAAGAGCGCTTTCTGGA